CGCAGGTCAACATATCCGTTAAAGTTTAAATCTTCCGGACAAAATTAGAAAAGTGCCGGTCAGAGGTCTTCTTTGTTATTTATTGAGCTTTAAAACAAATGAATAACGACTCTATATAATAATATAAGAATAATAAACGGAGCCTCTCTTTTCCTTCCGCTCTTCTGAGAGCCCAGCAGCTGATCTCTGAGCACGAGAGGTGGGGAGAGGCGGGGCTATTGCTTCAACTTTATCAGGACATGATCGTATAGGCGTGAACACGGAGCCGTTTGCCCCCCCAGAGCGTTTCGTTTGCAGATCTACCCACCTTGGGACCCGTTATCGTTTTCTGCGTTTCCATGTCGGCCTTGTGTGGCCGAACCGTCTATCTGATAGTGAACTGTAGCCGATACGACCGTTATCGTCCTTGTGTGGCCGGGGCTTTAGTAGCCCATTTTACTGAGTAGTGCCAGGTTCCTTAGGTTGTTAGTATTGTTTCCTATTAACGGAGTCTGCATATGAAAGAAAAATCTGTGGGTAACAGGGCAATGTTTTTCCCAATATTTGTATAGGAATCGTTCTGGTTTCCGTTTGTAGTCTGAGTATGACTGACCTCTAATCGTTAAGTTCCAGGACTTTGGCTAAACGCTCTGAGTCAATAGCAAAAACAAATCTGTGTCCGATGGAATGAACCCATCAGCTATCGTCTGATATGAAGGCACATACAATCCAATCGTAGACGTCATCCCTAAGCCCCAAATGTATTCTTGCATCTGACTGTAAACCCAGATATCAGTTTATGGGTTCCAAAATGGTGGCAACATTGACCATTATTGCCATTGCTACAGAAAGGCAGCATCTCTTAAATATCCCAAAGGCATTATAACCAATTTTAATGTAGCTGAAGCCAATGTTGAATGTTTTTTGTTTACCTTTGCATAGAAAAGAAAAAAAGTAATCAAATTCAAGTAAATTCAAAGTGAATGTATGGTGCTATCCAAGCTTGAACAAAATGACCTACAGTATCATCATTCTCCCCTCTTTGTCTTTCTTTCAACTCCATTTACATCCCATGTCTTTTTTTATGCTCCTCTCTTTTTTACATTCAACACATAACAAACTTCTATTTGTATCCAGCCTCTATTTATTCAAGTTGTTCAACCAGAAAGAAAAGTCGTGTTGTCATCTGTCACTTCCCCCCGAGCGGGAACTCTCGGCATCTCTGTGTTGTTAGTGACACAAAAAAAACAGTGCCTGGAAAAAGACAAAAAAAACACACTGTCCCTGAAGATGTAAAAATACTTCAGACAAGTAGTGTGGTGAAGCAAAAGCATTTGGTAAGGTCGAGAAGTTTACAAGATGTTTGGTACTCTCCCACACTTTCTGCTTTCTTTTGGACATTTGACATCCCTTCTCCCCCCGCCATCTGTTCCGCCTTTTTTATTCAGCTTGTTTTTGACATGTGGGCAGCTCCTTTGACCACTGCTCCACCAGCCAGACTGCATCCTGTCAGTCTGACACATGGCTGTTACCTAAACACACACACACACACACACACACACACTTTGCTAATGAATGCTGGCGAGTGCATGCACACACACGTACAAGGGAATAGGGTAAGTATCTACATTTAAAGTCTGTTGTCAAATCCAATTTGTGCAGAGGAGAAACTACACATCCTCAACACATTTGTTTATCTTTCTCTCTAGATGCTACAGCCCCAGTTTAAACCCCACAGCATCCAGCAGGTGTTGCTGAGGCTGTTCCAGGTATTTTATATTATTAATTCATCTTTCCACTTTCAAATCAGCCAAGTCATCACTCTTGGGCCAAGGCTGAGGGCTAAGCCGCTAAGGTTTATCAGCATTCCTTGTTAATTCATCTGGATTATTCTTCTCTTTTTTATTCTGACTGTCAATGCAGCACATACAGTTGTATGTTTTAAAGGTAACCTATTGTGCAAAATCCACTTTTTCATGTGTCCCCGCTGTGTAAAGAGATTCTGAAAGTTTCAGCTAAAAGATTCTCTCTCTTTTTGTCCTGATCCATTTATATAAAAACCTGTCTGAAAATGATGATCAGATTTTGGCCACTTTATGATGTCATAACGATTTTTTGGCTTGTGTAACGATAAGCCAATAACCACCTTAATCTCCTAGAGCACCATCGTGTTTTTTTTTAACCACATATTTCTCGGAGGGGCGTGGAGAGTGACTCCTTATTTTCATCTAAAGTAACAGACACAGAATCAGCACTTTTGAAACGGGGCTGAAACAGAGGGGATTTTGGGATGCTGCAATGATCTGTTTGGTGTTTGGAGCCAAACACTTCAGAGACATGTTTTGTATATATCTGAGACCTATAATATATTGATGAAAAATAGTATAATAGGGGACCTTTAATATGTCAGTATGGCTCCTTGAGGCCAGACTCATGTCTTTTTAATGGAGACTATCATGCAGAGTTCACCCCAGTTTTAAGAGCAGGATGTCCTTTAACAATCTGGTCTGAGCTGCTGGTTAGATTTTCAAATGTATCTTGCGGTTCCAGTGCTGTTTCATTTCCTGTGCAATTTCATTCCAGTCAGTTTGATTGAATCGTGGCTGTGTGTCGCAGGTGATTCCTGGAAGGTCGCCGTACGGCTCGTGGGATCCGGGACGCTGCTTGCGCTGCGCCGTGGTGGGCAACTCCGGAAACCTCAGAGGGGCCGGATATGGGCCGACCATTGACGGACACAACCACATCATGAGGTGAGAGGCATGGATGTGATAGATAGAAGGGCAATGAGATAAAGAGGAGAGCAGATGCACAGCTGCATTACATGGAGCAAGACTGAAAGAAAGATATGGAGATGGAGGAAAAGATGAAGGTGGATGAGGAAGATAGCTGGAGGGTAGAAGGGAAGAGAGATTTCATGAAAGGAAAGCACTATAGCCTTAAAGTTATATAATCATAAAAATAAAGTTTAATTTTATAGCACTTTTCATACACCAGGTGCAGCTCAAATTGCTTTCACAACATGGCACACATCACAAATTAGTACAAATCATAAGAAATTCACTTCAATTCACTAAACCCTAAAACCTTATTGCACACATGCAGCGTACATACATAATATAACAGTTCAAAGGACACGAGGAGGTAAAAGGTGTAATACAAAGAAAATACAAGTAAATAAACAATGAACCCACTCGGGGGGAAAAAAGAGGAAGGCATAAGATAAGACAAAATGATTAAATACAATACAAATATTAAAACCTATAAAATAAACAAAGCAACAGTAATATACAACTAAAATAAACACATACTGTATCATCATCTGTGTGACACATTTATATAGAAGCCGACAGCAGATGTGTTCTTCTGATCAGCTTTTGATACTATATTTAATCTATTTAATTCTGTCCTATATTCAAGTCTGATTGGTTGACGGAGAGGTCACCTGACTAGTGTGAGGTCACCACACAGAGGGTTTATGTCTTCAGAAGCTGAAACGTATAGATCGTGCCTCTCTCACGCACGCACCCAGGCAGAGAGGGACATAAATCTGTTTGTCTGAATCAATCCCCCCCACGCTTTCTGGCGCAGCAGTGATGGATCACAGGGCCTGATTGTCGTCAATTGGCATGGCACACACAGCTATGTTGTTGCCCGCGGCTATAGTGCTTGTCGTGGCCACGTGTTTTTGGCATAAAAGCCTCCACAGGAATGACAAGTATTTTTTAGTTTAACGCATTAGCATCCATTAGCGTTGCATTCTCAGTGGACTTGTGTGGGCTGCTTCCAGGTCCGTCTCACTGTGGTTTGATTCTTATTCTGTGTTTTATAATCAGCTTGGTCCACAACACCACCACCCACCTGCTGTCTGTGTGTCTTCCCATTCCCGCTATGCGAACAAACATCTGTTTTGTTCACTGACATATGTGTAGGCGCACTTAGCCGCCTTTTCTTTTTAAGGTGCCCCTTCCTGTTTGTATGAACAGCTCGGTTCTCCAGACAGTAGTGAGTCACATAGACTGTAAATACAGCAAAAGACAGAGTTACTGTCTGACGGGGAAACATATGTTTATTATATTCAAGGGCATGAAAAATGGTGGGAACACAAGGACTCAGATGAAATTGAAGGAAATGCAATGGGGGATGGATAGGAGGTTATATACAATAATTATGACGAGATTGGGAAATGTTTGCATAGCACCACATCCACTAAAGGACATACACTTCGCTATTGGAGGGACAACAAACCTAAAAGATTGTCTTCTTTATGCATCATTTTCAGAGGTAGAAAAGGAGACAAATGAAAGAATAAAATAAATGTTCTAAGTTACTTATTTTTTCTTGGCTTTTTACCAATTCTTCAGAAAACGTTTTACAAGTTATGCCTTTTAAAAAGTGGTGCTTAAATCATGACTTAAATCATGAGTTGAACCACTTTCATAGTAATGATGACTAAAACCACTACTTTTACCTGGTTTCCTGGTAATGACAAACCAAAAGTGAATCAACACTCTTCCCACCTTTGCTGTTTTGGTTCAGTCCGACTGCTCTCATGAGCAGCTTTTCAGTGCTCCAAAAACCCGCTGTACACCACCTGCTCAGCACCAGACAGGAAACAAATAAAGGTTAGCAACCAGTTGGTGAACATTGTGGAGCATTTGGCAGCTAAAGAGACAGATATTTCCCTAAGGAGGAGACCAAAAAGGAGCCGTAAGGAGGGTTAATATTGAGCAGACAACCCCTCGATGTGGATTCATTCTGGTTTGAAACCGCTTTAGTGACTACGACTGAAGCTCAGACTTTACTTGCTAGAATAGTGTTACCTGAAGACGTGCAATTCTCATAATCTACCTCCCTTTTTTCCCAGAATAAACCTGGCCCCCACAGTAGGGTACGAGGAAGACGCCGGCAGCCACACCACACACCACTTCATGTACCCGGAGAGCGCCAAGAACCTGGCAGCCAACGTCAGCTTCGTCCTGGTTCCCTTCAAAACGCTGGATCTCGTCTGGATCACCAGCGCTCTATCTACCGGCCAGATCCGATTGTAAGAAGAGAGACACACACACACACACACACACACACACACACACACACACACACACACACACACACACACACACACACACACACACACACACACACACACACACACACACACCAGAATTTCAAACTGGCATCTGTGCAAATATTGCATCCTGCTGCAGAGAGGACAGAGAGGCGCTGCCTGCATCATAAAGCACAACGAGCTAATGGTTTCTCATCGCTATAACAACCCTCAGACAGCAACTATCGACACAAGGTGTGTGTAGTGCGCGGTGTGTAAAGGGTTACACACTCTCTTCAACAGTTTTCCATTTCCCCTCGTGTCCAGCTGAGCTCATAAAGTTCACAGAGTTGCAGACATGACGTTTTCTGCAAATATCCAGCTTCGTTAACGAGCTCCCAGGACTATGTTTTTGAGATAGCCCTCGACAAAGTTTGTTAAACCCGGAGGCCGACTCAACACCATCTCATTTACTGCTGCTGTTCTGTTTTAGTTCACTGCACATTTAATATTGGTGGTTTAGGACCTTTAATCCAAACAAAACAAAATGTCCTTATGCTTTGGGACATTCTCACAGAGATGCTTTTACTCTCTGCTGACACTATTTCTATGAATGTATTATTCTTACAAAGGAAAAACCAAATGATCAATTAGCCAATCAACAATAATCATAACAAAATGATTCTAGCCTTTTCATTGAGCGAAGTTGTTCCTATTTCGTCTTAGATGTTTGGATAAATAATTAATTTATCTTTCAAACAAAATAAAGTTTTTGAATATGTCACCTTTTGCTTATTTGATGGACCAGGGTATATGCAGGAATCC